ATAAAATTTCACATTCGATTATGAAATAATCAACAAATCAGCAATTCAATTCATCCCTTCCAAATCTAAAATAAATCAACACTAGAGTTAAAGTAACTAAGTATATCACCTCCACGGCTCCACAATCACGAGTCTGCAAATCTAAAATTCGTAATTCCTTTCGCATATATCGTATGAAGATATCAAGATGGAAATTTAGAAGAATTAATCGACTAAGCTAGTTTGACTGTCTGAGGAGAGAATAGAGGAGAAATTGAAAGTCAGAACAATAGATTCGGGAGTAAAGCTTGAAAAAAATCTAAAGCAGAACCAAATAAAAGGAAAAGAAAATATTACTAATACATTTTAATGGAAGTCCGAGCGATGTCCGTGGGTGTTTTGGAGTTCAGATTATATTCTCGGTTAGCAAGCGCAAATTATATGGTACAGCCGGCTGTACCATGAGCATGGTACAGCCGGCATTTTTGTAATTACTTTCAACTTTCAGGGTAGTAATTAGGTTGGTTACACTGTTCACTTTTCTTTGGCCGCAGCACTCCTGATTTCTCTCCGTCCGCTCCTGCTCTTGTCGTTATTGCTTCTCTGTTTCTTTTTTTGTCTGATTATTTTTTTGTTCTCAATTCTTTTTAGTTCCTCCTGCACTAGTCGTTAATCTCGATATCTTTTCTCTCCTTTTATTTATTTGCTTTATTGTTTGTTCTCAATTCTTTTTCGTTTTGGTTTAATTGTGTTTCTTTTTTTTTTTTGTTTCTTTCATTAGCAACTTTTTTCTTTAATTTTGTATTCCATTATTATGAAAATTTATAATATAAAATATTATGTAAAATATTATTAAATGTCCCGGTCTATTTGTTTCTTTTTTCAATCAAATTTCTTACTTAAGGTTTTTTAATTTATTTATTGTGAAATATTTTAGGTTTTAATATTTTATTTTTAATTTAAGATGAAAATTTATTAGTTTATTAAATATTGTTGTCTAACGTGGATTTTCTGTTATATGGAGTATTGAAATGAGTATAGTGAAACAAATATGCACGAGTAAATATTATATAAATAACACGGTTATATTTGTAATTCGCAAACGGAAGACTATAATTTTTTTAATACAAAATTACTATATTTGTCATTACTATATTTGTTACTATATGTGCAAAAATGAACTTTTGAACACATTAGAGAATTCAAACGATCTTTTTGATCTCCGATGCTCATTTTATAAGTTTTGTATGTTCATCTAGTACTGGTTGTATTCTCATTTTAAAATGTCATGTTAATGCATATTTCAAAAGTATCATATTAGATTCGAATAAGAGTTAGATTGTGTACATGGTACCGCAAATCATGATACTCAATTGCATGCTTCCGATACTCAATAATGGAGGTTTGATATACAATAAAAATATCGTGATGATCAACTAACAAAGCTTATTATTTTCATATCATTACTCATTTGGTAAGTAATGTATGCTCATTTTGTACTGATGCTAGCTCATTTTTAAAATATTATATAAATGCTTATTTTAAAATAACCATATTAAATTACATTCACGTAGAAGTTGATTATAGACATAGGAGCATAGACCATGCATGATACTCAATTGCATGTTTCGAATACTCAATAGAGAAGTTTTGATGCTCAATAAATATGTCTTGAATTTCGACTAAAAAACTTATGATTTTCATATCAATGCTCATTTTTAAGTAACTTAAGCTCAATTGGTGCTCATGTTATGCTCATTTTTAAAATGTCATATCAATGCATATTTCAAAAGTTGCATATTACATTAGATTCACATATTGAAGTTCATATGAGTTGATTATAGATAATATTTAGTAAGTTCTTAAAAAGGAAAAATAAGAAATTAAAAGAACGTGAATTTTGAATATATAAAGCAGATCACCACACTCATTGTTAGGCTTCCAATGCTCAACAAAACATGTCTGATGCTCACTAAATTGCATAATCCTTATACTCAATAGAGGGAGTTTTGATACTCAACTAACAAAACTTACGATTTTCATAGTACTGCTCATTTGTACATTATGTATGCTCATTTGGTACTGATGTGCTCATTTTTAAAATGTCATAACAATGCACATTTCAAACGTATCATATTACATTAGATTCACATATTGAAATTCATAGGAACGAATTATAGATATAATTTAATGAGATTTTATCAAAGAAAAAATAAGAAAAAGAAAGTGAATTACAATATATGAAGTTGATATCACAAATACTCATTATTCGACTCTTAGTGCTCAGTAGAATACGTATGATGCTCATTAAAATTGTATTAGTGCTCATCTGACGAAAACCGCTATTTTCACTGAAATTACGAAAATGCCACCATTTTTAATTGTACTATCAACTTTCTTGTAATAACACGGTGCTCATTATTAGATGCTTAATACTCATTAAAATTGGACTATTGCTCATTAACAGTACACTGATGCTCATTTAGCAGAAACCGCGTTTTTTACATTAATTACAAAAACGCCACCGAATTGTTTTCCTATTTTTCCCTTGGGCCTGTTCCTGAGCCGGCTGTACGGTGCTCACCGTACAGCCGGATGTACTATATACGTACTCGTTAGCAAGACGAACAGTTGAAACTCGAAAAATAAGGAAAATTAAAAAGATGCCCAACTAGTCATGGACCCGGTTCGGGCCTCCCGGCCCGGGACCGGCCTGGCCCGCTACTGTGCGGGCCCGGAACCGGCCCGGTTCTCGGGTCCGGGTCGGGCCTAGGCCCGGTGGGGGGCGGGTCCGGGCTCGGGCCGAATTGAATTTTTTTTTTATTTTATTTTTTTTCATTTTTTGGGGTTACCCGGGTTGGGCTTGATGGTAAGGAGGGGTTTGGGGGGTTTGAGGGGTGGGGGGTGAGGGGGGATTAGGAAAGCAAAAAAAAAATGACCAAACCGGAGGCCCGGACCCGGACCGGACCCTGTGGCTACCCGGGCCGGTCCCAAGCCTTCCTTCCCAAAAAAAAGCCCGGCCGGGCCCGGCCCGGGTCCATGACTATGTCAAACGCTTGGCCTTCTCAATGTTGGACTATGGGAGAATCCGGAAATAGATATCGATAAATTATACTCCAGGTAAATAGTATTCGCTTAGGCGCGTAGAGTACTATACGGAGTATAATATCTTATATCGATCAATATACAACAATGCTTGATGTACCCACTTTTATACCCACCTTACACCCACCATGTTTGTGGAGGGTTTTTTTTGTCTGTGAACCCGGGTTCACAGACAATATTTTGTCGCTGCAAAATATTGTCTGTGAGCCGGAGTTCACAGAAAAAAAAACACTTCACAAACATATGTGTATACAAAAGTGGGTACAAAGATCATTTTTGATCAATATATACAGAGTAAGTAACATATAAATATATGGGCCCCACAGAGAAGATGGGCTCTGAGCATGTGCCCCTTTGCCCTCCCTCCAAAACCGGGCCTGACTATGTAATTTTCTCTTTAATAATTACGGAGTACAAAACAATGTCACTTTACCCGTTTACCATAACGAATTGGAATGACGAAAATTAGAAATTTTGGTATGCTTGATAAGTACAGTGTCGTCCTCATTTTTTTAGGTACCATAACACTCGCCATAAACTTCTTGCGTAAAATGACGTTGTGGAAAGATCATTAGTAGGGGTGGGATTTTGGAACCGGGAACTGTAGAACCGATTGGAACCGAACTCTTAACAACATCTAGGAACCAAACCGTTACCAATTAATACCTTATTTGTAGGAACCGAACCGAAGCGAGTTGTAACGGTTCGGTTCCTGGTTCCTATAAAAAATATATGCATGGAACCGTTAAAGAACCATTATTAAAAAGTTAAAAAATAAAATGATATTAGTAGTAGTAGTAACAATAATAATAATAATATAATAGCAATAATAACCACCACCACAACAATAATAATAAAACAATATAAGATATTTAACTAACAATTCTAATTTAATCAACGAAAACGAAGTAATAAATATTGTACATGAGGTTGATATAATACATTAGACTCCTTTATACAAATCAAGTTTTGTTTCATCACATAAATTTTATAAATACAAAATAGTTCAAATAACTTGTAGTTGATTGCACATATTTTACTTTACGATTTTCATGATATTTCTAATTATTAGATTTATTATGAATCAATAGAATGTAACAATGTTTTTTTATATCTATACATGCGAACTCAATGTATTTTTTTATGTTTTGAAAGACTTGAAGTAGACGTCATATTCTTTCTACTATGATAACGAGTAACCTTCATCGCTCCCACACTACAATGCAAACTCAATGTATTTTTTTATGTTTTAAAAGACTTGAAGTAGGCGTCCTATTCTTGCTACTATGATGACGAGTAACCTTCATCGCTCCCACACTACTATGATTTTTATGTTTTATTTATTACATGAAAATTTAAATCATCTTTTGTTCTATTAAGTGTTCACAATTCATTAATTAGGTTTGAGCTTTGATGTTTGAAGTGATTAGAGCTTCAAATAAAATTTTAATACTCATGTTTTGAATTTCCAACGGGTTTATGTTGTTTGTAGAAAGTAAATTATGTATTAATTCTTGGCGAGAAAAAATTATTCTAGGAACCGGTAAAAAGAAGAGCCGAACCGTTTACTACCGGTTCGGTTCCATAACGGTTCTTGATTTTTTATATCGGAACTGAACCGATTTCATTAGTTAAAACTTTTATAACCGTTCCACTCATTTTGAGTAAGAACCGAACCGGTCCCAACCCTAATTATTAGAAGTCTCAAGCAAGCCATGGGATGGGAGGTTGTTTTACGGCTAATGCCACGTTTGTAAATAGAGGACTAACACCTATCACATATTTTGCAAATGAAGGCCACGTATATATAAGAATAAGAAAGATCATACTAGTACTAGTAAGAAAAAGGCCCGGCCGCCTATATAATAGAGAGCCCCATAGGCGTTCTTGTTCTCTAACTAAGAAGATTAGAAGAACAGAAAGGGCGATCTGATCGAATTGTATATGGCGAAGAGCAAGGATGACATTACGTACGGGTTGGCGCAGGCAAGGTTGTCTGAAGACGACGCCGTAAGGGTGTGTTACAAAGGCGGCGTTCCACTCGAAGGCGGCAAGATTGCCGATTCCGAACCCATTGAGCTCTTCTCCAGTGCTTACAACATCCAAAAACAGCCCCGTCGCGGAGAAGAGTCGGCCTCAGAGACTGCGGCCGACTCCCAACGACGAGATGCTGCTACGGCTGCGCCACCGTCGTCTGACAAGAATCGAGCTGATCAGCACTGTCAGGAACGTTGACAAAGAAGGAAGAAATAAATTGAGTGTCTGTTTGAATTTGAATTGGTTCTACGTACCAATTCAAGGCCATGCTTTTCTCTTTTCTTTTAGATGCTTTCAATCGGAGTAAAGGGTCAGTTTGGTACTCGAAGTTGCAAAAAAGGGGTCAAATAAGTCCTTATATAGAAGATTTTGTCCGGACGTGCCATTTGAGGTGGCTCCCGATAGAATTTTTTGATGAAATTTTTTGAGCATCTTATTCATTAAGTCTAGTTTACGCATACCAAATTTCAAATAAAAATTCAATCGGGAAGACATTCAAATGAATTCTTGAAGATAACTGTGCCGTTAAAAGCGCAGTTATCTTCAAGAATTCATTTGAATGTCTCCCCGATTGAATTGTTAGCTGAAATTTGGTATGAGTAAACTAGACTTAATGAATAAGATGCTCAAAAAATTTCATCAAAAAATTCCACCGGGAGCCACCTCAAATGGCACATTCGGACAGAATTTTTTATATAAGGACTTATTTGACCCCTTTTTTGCAACTTCGAGGACCAAACTGACCCTTATCCCCTTTCAATCGTGATGTGCTAGCTAGTCTTGTTCTGTTTAGTGTTTACATCTCTTAGATTAATTTACAAATTTAATACTTATTTTGTTTCCAAGTTTTTCCTCTAATAATCTTATAATTAATGAAAACTATATTGAAATTAAAGGATGAAGTATATGATATGGTTCTATTTATTAATTTCAAAACAGAAAGAAAGAATTCATTTATTCAAAAAAGGTTAAAGATTTAATTTTATCATACCTCTGATTTTTTTATCACATTGCAATTGAAATATCCATTAAATTCTGAAATTCGCAGAGATTTCCTTTACTAAATACTAAAGGATGAGCTTACTTGATTTGAAATTCAAAAAGTTGTATTTATGTTCACTCTGTTATTTCCAACTAGCTAGCTAGTACTACACATGAGTTCGTCCAGAGTTAGTATTCCTTAGACGTTCTTAAAGACACGAGTACATGAATCACTATTAAAAGAAATAATTACATAAATATCACCAAAATAAAGATGATTTACAAAAATATGATTAATGACTAGAGTAGTAATGAAATTATAGTAATTCATGTTCAAATTTTGAACTTAAGTTACCACAACACCACATTGTAGTAATGAATAGTCATATCACTACAAAAAAACACGGTCGTAGTCACGGACTTAGTCACGGACAGCAGTTCAATTTTTCCGTGACTAAATGATGTAGTCACGGTCGCTGGCCGTGACTAAATCCGTGACTTAATGGGCGTGACTAAATTGAAGTCACGTCCAACGAACCGTGACTAAATTTAGTCACGGACTAGTCACGGTCAGAAACCGTGACTAGAATACCCGCCGGAACCCCATTCCGGCGTATTAGTCACGGTCAGCAACCGTGACTAAGTTTTTTTAAAAATTAATTTTAGTAGTCACGGCTTTGGACCGTGACTAATATTTCAAATTTTCAAAATTTGAGCAAAAAACCGCCCGCGGCGGTAATTTAAAATTTTGAAATTAGTCACGGTTGTCGACCGTGACTAATTATTTTTTTATTTAAAAAAATAATAATTTCGGATTAATAATAGTCACGGTTGTCGACCGTGACTACTTTTTTTGTTTTTTTAAAAAAAAAATCCAGTTTTCGTTTTTTTTTTTTTAAATTTTTTTAAAAATAACTTTTTTAAAAACGGAAGTTTACATATTAAATTTCAAAATGTTTTTTAAAAAATGAGTTATTGAAAATATTATACTATTTTTTTTAAAATAAATACATTTTAAGAATAAAGACATACAACAAATTCAATAAATATTGTGACAAACTTTTAAAAGTTTTGAAATACAACAAATAATAAATGTATGATGATTACATGTCCCGTGGGACTCCATTATGATAAAAATTGGGATTTTCTTCTTCTTCTTCTTCTTGATCATCAACAAGAAACTCATCTGGGTTCACGGGGGGGTCTTCAGGGTCAGGTCGGGTTCCTCCTCGGGGTGCTCCTCGGGGTCCTCCTCGGGGTGCACCTCGGCCTCCGTGGCTCGGCGTGCCACTACCTCCTCCGGATGACCTCGCAAAATCAAAGGACATAGAACCGAAATTCGGGGAGATCATAGGCATGCCACCATATCCGGAGTTGGGGAAAAATCCCATACCGCCCATGTGCGGAACTTGAGGAGTTTGCTCAGGGTGGAATACGTACGGGGGAGGAAAAGGCTGTTGCGGAGGCTGGAATCCGGCACGCATGTACCGTTCCATCTCCTCCAGTCGGGCTTTTGTTTCTTCCTCTCTTTTCCGCTGCTCCTCCCATCGCCGTTCGTGCTCCTCTAGTTCACGCTGCATTGTGGCAATACGGGGATCTTCTCCCCGCCTTGACCGAGAAGAGGAAGCGCCGGTGCTTCGATCATACAAAATCCGTTGCCCCTCGGCCCCCAAGCACGGAACCCGGCCCTTGTAAACCCCGGCCGCCTCAATGGCCGCCTCATCATCCGCATCGGAATCGAGGTCGTCCTCCTGGGTCAAGCCTCGTGCCGCACGCTGCCTGTCGAGGGATTCGTTGTACTTCGTCTGCATTTTCAAAAAGATTTTTTAAATGCTACATACTTAGATTTTAAATGTTACTAAATAACAAAATATGATGTTACATACTTCGAAGTCAGCGAGGCGGGGTGGCAAATCGGCTTCAGATTCCTCGCCGTGCTTCGTCCAGCAATGCTTGACGAGCCGGAGAACATCAACCTTCTTCTTCTCAGTACCAGCCTAAATGGTGCGAAAAAGACTTATATTAAATTTTTTATAATAAAGGAATGTGATGTTGTAAGGTTTTTTGAATAGCACTTACAAGAGTTTCTTTATGGGCATTCTGAGATTTACGACCTCCGTGCCACTGCATCTCCAAGGCCTTCTCGGACATCCGGTTTTTCTTACCGGATTCACTTCTGGCCAAGAATTTCGGATCAGAAGACCAGTGGCGACAAAGGTTGGACCACACTTCATCCGAAACCCATCTAGGCTTTTTCCCACTTTTTCGCGCCCGTTTAAAAGTGGCGCGAAGCCAGGTCGAAATCCTAGCATTGTAGGCTTTAAGAATATCGGCACCGTGTGCGTGAGTCCAACGATAGCGAGCCTTTATTAAAACAAATTGGATTAATTAATCACCAGGTATATATTAGGCCAATACAATCAGGAAGGGAACATTCATTTATTTTTACCTTGAACAGGTTCCACCATAGTTCGCGAACCTTGGGGTCAACATCTGACAGTGTGGCCCAAGTGCCAAGAAAGTGTCCTCCGATGATGTTTTTGATGCCCGTGAACACGTGTTCGTCACTTTAAAAAATTAATAGTATTTATTTATATAAGATTTGGTTTGATTATTTAACATTATATAAAATTATTGAAAATAAGGTTTTTCATAACTACTTACAAAAGAACTTCTGCAGGCGTCACCCAAACAGCGCTATCATTGTTGCGCTCCGCTTCGGACATAGGCGCATGGTTAGGGCGGGGAGCCGAGGTCGATTGTTCGTTGCTCATCTAAAATATATTAATTTATTTTGTTTTTTGTTAGAATGATTATAATAGAAAATAAAATTTATAGGATGAGCTTATGAGAAATTATTTAACCACTCATATTAAACTTATACAAGTATTATTAATTTTTTCACTATAAAAATTTATACAAGTATTATTAATTGAAAATGTGTATAGCATATTAAACTATTTTTAGTTTAATATGAGGGGTCCATATTTTTTCATAATAAGTTCTTAAATAATTTGGTAATAAATTGCACTTGGAGGTAACATGTTAAACTTTTTACAAAGTTTACATGAGAAGAGATCATTTTTTTATGTTTTCGATATATCAATTTATATGAGAGGCCATCTTTTTTTTATCAGTCCTATCAGTTTATATGAGAGGCCATTTTTTTATCTGTTTTATACACATTTACAATTGTAAGTAACATGTTAAACTTTTTGCAAAGTTTACATGAGAGGCCATCTTTTTTTTTGTTTAAGATACATAAATTTTATACAATTTTTATAAACAGTTTTTCAAAAACAGTTTATAAAAAAGAGTTTTAATACACTTTTTAAATAAAAAACAGTTTTTATACAAACTGTTTCCTAGAAACAGTATACTTTTTTTTTCAAAAACAGTTTATAAAAAAAAGTTTTTATACACTTTTTAAATAAAAAACAGTTTTTATACAAACTGTTTTTCTAGAAAAATAGTATAGTTTAAGTTTATACAAAAAACGTTTTTTATAATGTCTAAATAACAGTTTTATACTTTTTTAGTTAAATTACAAAAACAGATTATATAACACAGTTTTTATATAAACAGTTTTTATATAAACTGTTTTTAATTAAATTACAATAACAGTTTTTAAGTAAACTAAATTTTCATTCAAAACAGTTTTTAAAAAAACTGCAGTTTTTATAAAAACTGTTTTTACAAAAGCTGTTTTTATATAAAACAGTTTTTAAGTAAACTAAATTTTCATTCAAAATTGTTTTTATAAAAACAGTTTTTACAAAACTGTTTTATTTTTTAAAAACTGCAGTTTTTATAAAAACTGTTTATTTACCATTTTGTATCCAATTTTTACCTTTTATATTTATAAAAACTGTTTATTTACCATTTTGTATCCAATTTTTACTTTTTATATTTATAAAAACTGTTTATAAAAACTGTTTATAGAAACGTTTTATAGAAACTGTTTATAAAAATTTCTAAAATTTTAAAAACTGTTTATAAAAACAGTTTATCGAAACTGTTTATAAAATAATTTGTATACTTTTTATAAAATTTGTTTATAAAAATTTGTAAAATTAGAATTAAACATGTTAAGTTTGTGAAAGCTTAACATGAGGGGGCAATTTTTTTTTAAATATTTCGGGTTAACCATTGAGAGGCATGCATATCACACACTAATCATATATATTAAATATTATTAATCATGCATAAGAACATATACTACACATATAATAATTTAAATCATTTAAACATAATTATCATGCATACAAAACATATAAATCATATCATGCATATGAAACATATAAACTAAAACAGTGTTTTGCCTAGTTTTTTTTGCATACGAAAAAATCTACATATATTAACATATAAATAATCTACATTTAACATATATTAATCATGCATACGAAACATATAAAATGAAATTAACATGCAAAACTACAAATCATGCATATAATAAATCATACATATAACTTTTGAAGATTACAAAATGATATGAAACTAAAATTCGTGCATCTTATCATGCATTTGAGTATACAAACATGCATTTTTGGAATTTTAATCAAATATTGGAATTTTAATCAAATAAGTTGAACAAACACATAACCTTGACTGAAGAAGGGCCGACGGAAGAAGGTGGACGAAGGCGGCCGGAGGACGACGGCGGACGGCTAGGCGTTGACGGCGGCAGCTAGGCGGCGACGGCGGACAGCTAGGCGGCTGACGGCGGACGGCTAGGCGGCGGCACTGTCTAAACTGGAAGAGAGGGAAGAGAGAAGGAAGAGGAAGTTAGGGTTTGGGAGTTGGGTGCGTAGGTTTTTAAGAAAATCGCTAAGTGTTCTTTTTATATAAGGGTTTAGTCACGGTCATAGTCACGGTCCGGACCGTGACTAAACCCTTCGTAATTGACGATGTCAG